GGAACTTTCCTCTGTGGAAGCAGAACTCTGAGGCTCAGCGTTAAAGACACAAAGGTAAAAGGAGGCTCTGTTACGGGACCTAATTCTCTGTAGCCTTCCTCTGTTTCAGGGCATGGCCGGGCCTGCAGCAAGGGGAAAAACACTCACTTGCCTGGGAAGCCGGTTTCATCCCTGGACTGAGGGGAAACCTGCACGATGGTGAGAGACGTCAGCATCTGCCTTGTCGTTGTCTAGCTTTCTCCTCTTGCTGAGCTGTGGAAGCAAAACTCATTCTGCTGTGTCAGATGATATCCTTCTGTGTCCCTGGGGCAACTGGGAGGAGATATAAAAGCCGAGTGGCTTGATTGATATAATTAAGGCAATGAGGGCTGCAGCTTTGTTGCAGCTGCCACCTGAGTGTGCGGCCCTTTGCTGCCAGGGAGCACAGGTTCAAAGGCAGCACAGAATGAATGGGAATTTTAGAAGTGTTGGTGCCCAGTAGAGCACCTGCTTGTCAGCGTGGTCCAATATGAGCTGAAGTAGAAGGGATTAAATGCAGGAGGGGTTGGATGACAGCCCATTATGGAGACACTTGACACAACTCATCTCATAACTGTATTTGTCACAGAAATAGGCCCAGTGAAAGAATAATTGCTCCGTTTGCCTCCCTGGAGGGGCACTTGGGACAGTTTCAGACTTGCGTCAGGTTGCTGGGAGTGGGGAGGTGCAGTTCACGGACACCAAAAGGTCATCCTGGAAAGGACACCCTGAAGAATCCCTCCCTAGAAGGGTCTGTCTGCGTTTGGTCTGCTTGAACATATTTCTTGAGATAAACCCACGGACAGTTTATGTTCTGGATGAGGGGCTTATTCTTGTGTGCAAGGGGCTTATTCTTGTGAGGGGCTTCTTCTTGCATCACGCACAGTAAGATGTGTGTGATGAGGAGGAGGATAGCTGCTGGAAATGGCTTTAAAGGGTCTAAGCCACCAAAGTCTCGGAGCTGGTTCTTTTCTAAATGAGGATTTAAGCAGCATCCACTTCCCACAGTTTCTTGTCTCTGATTGACACGACTCACTGGCAAAAATGCTCCTTTGTCTGTCTGCTCATGAGAGAAAAGTTGCCTGCCTCTGAACAAAAAACTCCCTGTCTTTAATTCTTTCTGACATGGTGCTGGGTTGGTTTTTTTTTCAGAAGGAGTGGAGAAGAAACGAGTGGAGGCCAAATGTTATTCGAAGTACGATTGCCAGCTGTGTTCAGTGCAACTGGTATTTAGGAGCAAATCGTCCTGCGGAATCCTGGAGTTGTCCTGTTGCCCAAAGACAGCTTTGGCAAGCTCGCCATGGCCAAGCTGGGCTCCAGGCTGGTGAGAGAATGCGTCGGTATTGCATGCTGCTTGTTTTTTTCCTTTGTTAGTTACATGTCAGATCTGTAGGCAGCATGATGTGTCTGCTGAGCAGAATACGCTCACCAGGAAAAATGCTACTCAGGCAGAACACGGCTCCTCAGCACGTCAGCCTCGGGGTGTCTTCGCTGTGTCATTTTGTCGAACTGGGGGAGTTTTTGTAGCCAGGGGCGGGAGAGGAACTGAGCCTGTGATGTGCTGTTATCCCTGTCTGACAGCTCGGCTGTGAGGGAGAAAACCGTCCACTGAGGCTTATGTATTTCTCCTTGGTGGATCTCCCCCCCCTTGCAGGGAATCACTCTGGTGACATGAGTAGCACCAGCGGGGCAGAAGTAGCATCTGTCCCCTCTCCCCCTACCATTGCGCTGTCCTGTACGCGCAGCCCACTCAGCTGCCGGTCCTCTGCAGCCTGGGCACGGCCCGGCTTGCTGCGGGGACTGTAAGCACTGCCTGCTGTTATAGCACAGTTTAGATCTGTGAAGAGCTTTTAAGTTGCTTATCCAAACCACGTGGAGGCACAGTGGCAGGTGGAAGGGCGGTTAAGAAACACGTTTGTATCTCGCCATATCGTACAGTCACTGAGCACACACTGAAACAGCACTTTGTCTCTGGGAAGCTGACAGCTGCATTCTGCTCGGTAATTTCACGCTTTATTTAACAGAATTTGTATTTGTTTGCAGAAGATCAATAACGTTCACTGACAGGCTGAACCGGCAATCTTGACAACAGTGGACTTCTCAAGAACTCAAGGTTTGTGTGCAAAACGGGAGGGAGCGGGACTGCAAACCAGCGGTCTGGCTGCTTGGTCAATACAGCTGTGTTGCACGTGGGACCAGTCACTAGGAAGAGCTTTTGGTTTCCAAGGAATAAGGAGGGGAACAAAAGCAGTGAAGAGGCAGGCTGGTGATCAACAGGAAGAGTAAAAGCTACTCAGTGCTTTGAGAGGAGAGATGAGTGGGAATTGTTTCAGAGCAAACTTGTTAAGGAAAGTGGTGAGAACGTTGCTCTGTGGTGTCCCATGACTCTAGAGACGATGGAAGGAAGGTGGCTCAGGAGCAGCTCCAGCAAGCAGTTGCTGATGCGCCCTTCAAAATGGTGTGAAATGGCTGCATGTGTAAGTGCGGCTCCTTGCTGAGCAGGGGTTGCTGGAGCCATGTCCTGGGTAAGCTCACAGTAAAGCCAGAGAGGATGTGGGTACTTAAGCCATTGGCTTGGTAGGGAGCGAGTTTTTGTCTCCCAAAACCTGTTCTCTCATTTAAATAGTGCAAATCAGAAACTCTTCAGCAGTTACTTTGCTGACGCTGTCTTTTTTTCCACTAGGACCTGATCTGCTACAGCTGGCTGGAGGAAGAAGTGGTTCCCTTCTGTCTTCTGTTCCAGAACAAAATAAATTATTGAAAATCTTAGGAGTTGAGTGTACTTTTGGTCGAGCTGTTGCTTGTAAAGGCTGTCTACTAGAACAGAAATAGTTTTGAGCAGGTAGAAAGAATTTTGGGTTAAAATGCTTTCTGAAATGCAAGCGGCTGTGAGCTTACCTTTCGTAGCAAAACCTGCTCTTCCCTGGTACCCAAAGGCCTCAATGTCTGCAGACACTTGAAGAAAACCAATTAATGGGACCAATGTGACATAACTAGACAAAAATGGTGACAGAAATGGTTCTTGTCTGCTGGGAATCTCAAGGGCAAGGGGAGAAGCAAGAGAGGATAGTTCAGCCATCAGGTTCCTTCTCTGGAATGGAGTGTGTGTAACTCCAGGGCTTGGCTACGCCCTCAGCCAGAAAACCTTTTTGAAATGCGAAGGGAGCGTGTGTAGCAGCTCCTGCTGTGCTCCAACAGCTCTGCCCGTGAGCCTGGCTGGTATTTCTGGCAGGGTGCTTGCGCCCTGGGCTGAGGCTTGGCCAGAGCTGGTTTGGGGAGGTTTTGGTGCTGTCTTGGCTCGGTGATGTGTGGATCAGGCTCATTCTTGTCGTGAATGAGGTTTTGCTGAGTGCTTGCAAATGAAAAAAAAAACAAAACAAAACAGGCCCGACAGGCTGCCTTGCTACCTTGTAGGGTGACTGATGCAAACAAAGGTTAATTTGAGACCTGGGAAACCCAAGATGAGGTCGAAGCTAGAGATTATGTCTCCAAGAGCCTTGTGGGCTAACCTGGAATGGTCATTTGAACTGTCTGAAGGCAGCCTGCGGGGAGCTTGAGGGGCTTTGGAGGTTCCCTGGCTTACGGCCAGGATGTTGCTCACCGTCTCTGCAGCTCATCCGGAGTGGAAAGAGGCCCCCAGGGGATCCCGGAGATCCAGCTCCACGTCCCCACTCCCACCCCGGCCTCCGGGGCCATTCCCCAGCAGAAGGGTTGCTCTCCTACCTGTGACAGCTCAGCTGCAGGAGCGCTCGCCCCCACCCAGGTCATCAAAGCCACAGAAACAGGCGGATGGAAAACAATCATTGGACATTTATGTAATTACACAAAGTGGGAAATTGTCTCTGATTACACTGCTCCCTCCACTGTGCCCTATCGGCCCCCCCCAGCCACCACCAGCTGGAGCAGCCTCCCCAGTGGGTCGTCCTAACCCGGGATGGGTGAAGGGTTCAAGACCTTCACCTCCCTCAGGGTTTTTTAGGAGGAAAAAAATGAAACAAGTGACAGTGGCTTAGACTCGCCCTATGAGCAAGCATGTTCCCTAACCCCCCCCTCAGCATGAGCTGCCATCTCAAAGCACTCAGAGGGCACCACATGGTCCCCGTGCAAGAGACACCCAACAAACCCGCTGCCACACACGCGTGGGCTGTGGGCCAGCTCTCGTCCCCAGGATCCTCTGAGCTCAGTCGTGTTGGGTTGGACTAGGTGAGCTCTAGAGGTCCCTTCCAGCTCTGATTCTGTTTCTGATGGCCCAGCTGAGCTGCAGTAAAACTCTGCTCTTAGCTGATGGCTTTTTAAGACCCTTCCTTGCTTGAAAACACCTGGAGAAGGAGGAAAAAATGGCAGGGCACACCGAGTGTCTGTCACAGCCAAACTGCCGTCTTTCCCACTGGTCATGGAGGCAAACAGATCCTTCTGCAAAGCGGCACACGTTAACCCAGAGCTGGCTGGCATTCAGGGAGGTGTTCTCCAAGCACACCACCTTCCTCTTAGCTGGATCCTGTAGTCTCCAGGCCAAGGATTCATCGTGCATGCTGTGGTCCCACCACGGTGACAAGCACTTGAGCTGGAGTGTGATGGCGAGGTGAAGAGTGTTTCCCAGGCAGGGGCTGCCCCACGTACATCCCAGTGTCCTCTCCCAGCATCACCCTCCTGTGCTTTGCAGGAGCCACTGCTGCCCCACAGCTGCATTCGTGGGGCTGGGACGTCACAACCCTGTGCTTGTGGGTGCCCCAAATGCCACATTCAGCTGCATTGAGCCACAAAACATTGCCGGAGATCCCTGAGCAAACGCAAAATTTCTCTGCCAGCTTCGGCTTGCCCCTTACCGTCACACCACCAGCTGCTGCCGTATGAGGCAGGTCTGCTCCTCGGGCTGGCTGCCCAGCTGGGGAGAGCCCTCGGGAGGGAGAAGGTGGCCTTCAGGAAAGAGGAGAAGAGCCACAGGAGTCCTTGAACTTGACCCAGTGGGCAACCACTTGGCCTCACCGCTGGTAGAGGGTCATGATCCCTGCTCGGTGCAGGCTCCTCCACAGCGCTGCCTCCAGCATCAT